GGGCACTATCAGGTCACCTCAGAGTCCTCTCTTCTCCAGACTGAACAGACCCAGCTCTCTCAGCCCATCCTCGCAGGAGAGGTGTTTCATCCCTTGGATCATTTTGGTGACCCTCTTCTGGACATGCCCTATCAGGTCTCTCCTGTCCTGAGGACACCATATGTGGATGCAGTACTCCAGGTGAGGTCTCACCAGCACAGAGGGGCAGAATCACCTCCCTTGATCTTCTGATCATGCTCCTTCTGATGCAGCCCAGGATACAGTTGGCCTTCCTGGCTGCGAGGGCACATTGCTGGCTCATGTCCAGCTGCCCATTCACTAGTACTCCCAAGTCCTTTTTGGAAGGGCTATGCTTAATCCTTTTATGTCTCAGCTTGTATGGATAGTAGGGGCTGCCATGACCAGGTACAAGACTCTCCATTTGGATTTGTTGGATCTAATGAAGCTCTCGAGTCCATCACTCAAGTCTGTCTTGGTCTTTCTGGATGGGATCACCTCCCTCAGGCATATCAACCACACCCCCAAACTTGGTGTCATCTCAAAACCTGTTGAGAGTGCACCCAATCCCACCATCAATGTCACTGATGAAAATATTAAGGGGCACTGGTTCTAGCACCAACCCCTGAGAGGCACCACCCTTCACTGATTTCCATCTGGACACTGACCACTGCTCTCTGGGTGCAAACTTGTAAGCAGTTCCTCATCCACTGAGCAGTCCATTCATGAAATCCATCTTTCCAATTTAGAAAGAAGGATGTTATGGGGGACTGTGTAAAAGGCCTTACTGAAGTCCCAGAAGTGGCTCCTCCCTTGACCTCTGACACAGTTATGCCACCACAGAAGGCCATAAGTTGGTCAGCAGGAATTTTCTTGGTGGTGCTATGCTGACAATATCATCTCCCTCTCTTCCATGCGCCTTAACTTCCAGAATGATCTGCTCTGTGTTCTCCGACACAGAAATAAAGCTAACAGTTGGGAGCTCCTGGGCCATCCTTTCCACTCTTCTTAAATATGGGTATGATAGTGCTTTTTTTTCCAGTTACCAGGGACTACTTCTGACTGCTATGACTTTTCCAACATAATTAAGAGAGGGGTGGCGTCTGCATCAGCCAATTCCCTCAGGATTCTGTGATGCATCTCACTAGGACCCAGTGACTTAGGGATGATCAGGTCCCTCGGGTGGTTACAAACCTGATGTTCACTTACACTGGGAGGGACATTGCTCCTCCAGTTCCCACCTTCCAAACCTGCTCGAAGTGGGAGGTGCATTTCAACAGCAGTGACAATGGGTCACCTCCACTGGTGCAGATTTTTACAAGTGTGGCATACAGGCTCCTATTCACTGCTGGTGAAAAAGCACATCTAATGCTGGTGACAATGTTTAAAACTAGTCTTTTGTAGCTAGAATTTGTTCTACTAAATAGTGCTCTTGTGCTCTTTGTTGTAGTTTCTATTGAAATAAACAGGAGGCATTACTTTTAAAGCAACCTATGTACATTAATGAGATCCACCCCTGAGCCTTTTCTTCTCCAAGCTGAACAATCCCAGCTCTAACAGCCTCTCCTCATCCTCAGAAGTAGATAGAAACTTGAAATACCTGCACTCTCATGGTGAACACCATAGCCTCCAAATACGTGAGCAGTTTCAAGACCAAGAAACAGTGCTGACAAGCTTGACACATTATAGCTACCTTTTTACAGTCAGAATTCTGATTACAGCTACCTCTGTGTTTCCTGACAGTCTTATTTCTGCTCCTTTTCTAATAATTTTAAAGTAAATGTGGCTGATCCTCTCCTTACTTGGTCATAACCACCTTCCCATCTATCAGGGAAGGTTTTGCAGATTACTCCCACTTCATGTTAAAATATCTGCACATCACTGTAATTTTATCTGTTGCTTTTCTGAGACATACAACACAAATAGGAAACACGCCAGTTCTGTAAATGGTACGCATGACTTACAAAAGTTAACAGCACTCTTCTACCCACGCTGAACTTTGTTTCACCTGGCCCAATTTTCACCAGTCTTTGTCACCTGCTGAGCACAATGAAAACCCTATTTATGATACTCCAGAAGACACCATCAAAACCAGGTTAAAAGAGATTCTATCTGTAGTACTAGTTCTAGTCTGACCATGTCATCCCTTCTACACCACTTTTTGACTACAATTTTCTCTGTATTAATAGCATCACAACACCACCCGTTTCATTCCTCAATATTTTAACCCCATCACTATCTCTTTGCTGCAGATATTCAAATTCTGAAAGCTTTCATGTGAAATCATGTTTTAATGCGTCTCATAGCCCATAACATGGTATAACACTTCCTCAAATTTCCAAGGCAGATATAACAGATACTGGTACACATTCTACATTAGCAAATCTGTAAAAATAGAGTAAACAACTACAGTAGTCAAGAGGCAACATCAAAGTAGCCCATGAAAGAACCTGAGGCAATCTTGAGATCAGTGTTCTCACCATCCTGGCTCCACTGAGCTCCCCAACTCAGAATTTCTAAACCTAACCCACGTGCTTTGAGCATCACCACAGATTCTCTTACAGTAGTGATACTTAATCTAATTTAGCTAAGGTCTCTCCTTAAGAAACCAGTCCTTTTCTTGACATTATCACTAAAAATCTTTCAAATCTTTCAAAAACAAAAACCTAAACATGCCGTCCACATATCCTCATTTTCTCTTAAGAAAAGAGTACTCCAATTATTTTAATGTTTGAAACTTCCACAGTGCCATGAAAATAACTGACTGCTTAATAATCATTTTTGCACATGTGTAATTAATATTTTTCAAGAATGCTTACATCTCAACCTTTAGAAAGGCAAAAAAAATTCTATTTACACCACATTTTTTTGTATCAGTCAGGTAAATAGCACCACAAGTAAGCACTGCTTTCAGATACTTCATACAGCAAGAAATAATTTCCAAAATGCAAATAACTTATGCAGATTTTTGTCATTTATAAATTTATAATGCAAATTGAAGCATTATCTATATTTTATGCATGGATATAACACACATCCCAACAGGCTAACATTTTACTACCAACTAACAACTGCATTAGGTGAAGCATTAATGTCAAAGAGCAGTTCTATATTTGAATGTCAAACTCCTCAAATTTTACATTAAAAATATCTTCAATCAAGGCCTATAAACCTGAAATAATAATTACAACAGAAGATAATGAATATACTTAACAACAAATGGAAGAGTGAAGAAACTTCCAGAGTGAATCCACAGCTCTGAGATACCATTACGAAACATGCAAACAACAAACTGGAATAACAAATTAGGTAAATCATGCCAGTGGTTATTCTTGGTAATAAGACTGTTCTCATAAAAAAACAGTGATGTTAAATGAGGTAGTGTCTTCAAGATTTCCTTCCCCTCAGAAACAAACAAACAAAAAAAGACACAAAGGAAGAGGTGCAGGAAAAATTCTGCCTGGCAGCAAGCAATCACAGCAGATGCTGTTTTTCTTTCTCTCAAACCTTCCCTCGGAACATCCTTCTCTTCTCCCCTCATACTGTTCTATTTCAATGCTTCTGAATTGTATTAATTCATTTCTTCCTCTCAAATTATTGCCTATCCTTAGGACTTCTCTGCAGGTAAAAAGTAATGTATAAAGCAAGCATATAAATTACACAAATATATACATATGTAGACAGAAAAATAACCATAATTCTGACTTCACTAATGGTTACCTGACATACTTCCTGTGTTTCAAATAAAGCAGTCAATGAAGGAATCAGTACACACCACATAATATGTACTTGTTTGCCTGTCTCTTGATGAAGTGCACAGAGAATAAGAAGAAATGGAAGATTATCTATGCCTAACTATTGGAGAAAGCTCCAAATTCCATAAAGACAATCACAGCTGTCAGATTTAACAGCTGCCTGCAAAAGCTCACCTGGGATTTCAGGCGGAAGCTACTCTCATAAGAAAACACACTATAATGCTTTTTAATACAATATTTTTCACCAAGGTTTCATTTGTTTTCCTTAAAAAAGCACAATTCAGTTCACTCAGCTTTAATTTTAAAAGCAAACATTAGCTGCAATTCCTTTATTTGTCTGAAAGAATATGCTAAAATCATGTTAACACAAGAACATTTGAATACGATAACAGCATTAGTATAAATTATTGCAGCATTCCTCCAGCAAGGATGTAACAATAAATAAATAAGCCTCTAACTGATAAAAATTGTCAGTGAACTTTAGTGCAACATTCTGAAACAATATGGGCCAATTTGGTCCAGGAAAAGAAATTAGTGTCCACTGCTATTTCTTCTACAGGTATTTCAGGGAGAGAAAAAAAAATCTTACAATCAGCAGGAAATCATTTCTCTATTGTGCTTTAAGACATACCCGTAAGACCACAGTCTGTATATTCACTTTCTTATCCCTCTTTCAAACAAAAGGCTCTTCAATTAAATGAAGTGAAAAGGACAGTAGAAACTTCCTATTTGGGAAACGTGTCAATGCTGAACCTCCTTTGCTACCGGGCCTGAATAACCGAATAACTGAATAATAAAATTCTGATACAAAACGAAAACAAACAAACAAACAAACAAAAAACCGCAATTAAAAGCATCTTAAATACAAAAAGCTGTAAGCAGTCCCAAAAGACAAATCAGGCCCAAACAACTTGAACCAAAGAAATCGATTTCTTAGAGGCCTCACAAGAGCTTTCTCAAATATCCTTGGATTTGTCAACTCTAAACTTCTCAAATTGAATCATTACAACCTATTTCTTTTGAACTCACATAAGCTCTACTTATTAGCCTTGTTCTTTAAAACAGAAGAGTACATTACTGCAGTGTTCTTTATATCACAGACCTCCCATTTCATTGCTTTTCTTAGCTGAGAATGCTGTCTTGGCCTTTGAGTAAAGTTAATCACTGTGAAGCAATTGCACCCCAACTGCTTGTTTTAGTCAGCTGAAACACACAGATAAATAAGCTTCTAGAAAAATTAAAACTTGCCATGACTTCGGCTCCCCAAAATGGAGATAATTAATGCTGTAGAGATCCATATCTTCAGTGTGCCATGCAAATGTTGTTTTCCACATGCCAAAATACAGGTATGGGGTATTCACACCCTCAATAGAAATTCCACAGTCTTCTCCTACAACATCCAATATTGTATTAAGATGAGCAATATTCCATTCCTCAATACCCTGAAAAAGATACATAAGAGGTGTATTAATAAATTAATAAAATAATGGAACTTTATATAATAGTATTTCACAAAAGATACATGCCTCATCTAGCCTTTCAAAAGACTGTAGATAAGCAAAAATTAATAAATACTCCATCAGGCTCTTAAAGTTACCCCAAAAACTTGTTGTGTCCTTAGCAGAATTTAGATCAGGTGTTAAGCCTGACATGTTTACAGCAGAGAACACAGATAGATAGATATGTATGAGCTTAACATTTAATATTTCAAACTTAACACATATTGAAATACTGTACGCAACAGAAATAACAGCTGCAGACAAAAATCTATGAGTATCTATGAGCTATGTGTCACTAGGCATATCTTTCCTTTTTACTTACAAAATAATATAAAAAAATTAAAATGCTTTTAAATTATTTTCCTGTGTGAGTTTACCACTTTTCTGAAAAGGCCATAAAAAATGAAACAATCACTTCAGAGATATTTCTTTCTATAACCATAACGAGCTGCATGACACAGCATTAGAGAAGAAATCCACTAATTTCATGGGATTTCAGACATTTTCCTCCCATTGTTGCCTAAAGTTCGGGTGTTAAAAGCCACACACGTAGTTTTCGTTGTATTTCACATTCACAAAACATGATTCCAATTTCAGGTAATACAGCGTGTAGAAGCCAGTGTGACAAAGACCAAAGCTACAACATTGAAGAGAAAGAGATCAAACTTCACTGTAACAGCAATCGTTAGCTCCTCGAAGGAAGGCTTCCAAATTGACTTCTTGAGACTCCGCATGTGACTGCCTGCAATGATGACCTCACTTAAGAAGAAAGGCCACCCTTATGTCACCTGGGAGTCTTAGAAAGGAGTTATTTCTACAGAATGAGTTCATTGTGGATAACAAATTGATTTATTTATAATGAAAGCTTCTGCTCTCATGCACTTATGTGACATAGAGGCGCTTGAAATAAAAACATGTAAAAATATATTTATGATAAGAACTATCAAAGAGAATTAAATGCAAATATGTATTCAAGTCCTAGATGTAGGTAAAATTTCTACCTTTCAAATCTAAAAATCAGTCGCAAGACAATAGAGCTGTCAGGTACAAAGTTTATTTGCAGAAACAATTTTAACTAATTATTCTTCAAGTTAATTTACTTTTTTGATTGGAAAAAAACTCACAAAATTAACTGCTGTTCACAGATTCTGTACGGTCAGTTTGGAGAAACAAACTAATATGGCAAAATAAAAGCAATGACTTAACCACGGAGGTACACTGGAACATCATAAACACAACAGATAAAAAAAAGCAACTGTTGATCTAGGTAGTATCCTCCTTCTGACAGAGGGCAAAAACAAACAAGAATCAGAATACCCTTCCAGCCTCCAGCAATTTGCAGATTAAAGGTTTCACCAGAGAGGTGCTATTCATCTGCTCAACAGGACCCAGTGGGCTTTCTACCACTTAAAATTTATCTATCCAGTCACCATCTTTAATATACAAATAAACTTTTTCCACTCATAACATCTAGACATCTTACCCTCCTTTTACTAAGAACTAGTAAGAACTAAGTGATAGCTAATAGACAAAATTAAGAATAAACTGTCTTTTTATTTCACATATTTTCATCCTCCGTTAAGTCACAATCAAACACCAAGCAAACAGTTAGTGCTTTGTGCCTGAAAGGAAAGCAAATCCTCCTATGGAGAAAAGGTTGCTTAACACACCTAACACAAAACACAAGATCCAAAACCCCTATAATAAAGATGCATAACCTATTTTCATTTCCTAATAGCCATTCTGGACAAACTACAGAAACTACAGGTTTTGAGGAAAAGTTCTCTGAAACTGGCTTAAATTCCAAGATTACTGTGGTTCATTTTAATTATTTCTACATTCCTTAACTATTTTACGCTTAGGTTAATGCAAGTTATTACTATAAATTATTATCAAATCTATTACTTTACCTCATAGATGTAGCTTTTTCTAGTATTCCAAAACACTACGCAAAATGATTACATGAATTCCACTTAAAATATTGACTCGGTTCTTTTGCCATAGTTATGAGGCTGTTTTTAGACATCAGAATCGCAATGCAGAACAAAAAGAGCATAGGACCTGTAGTTCGGCAAGTCAACATATAATCGTACTTCAAAAAGTTAAAGTATACCCTAGAAGGGTATATTATATTTAATAACCATTATTAGATGAATACCATTCAAATTCTTTGACCCAGAAGTGAAGCTTCTTACACACGAAAGAAAAAAAAAAAAAGAACATTTAGGCATACTCTACTCAATGTAAGGAAAGGATCGAATATTTATTCTGTACTATATCTCAATAGTGTTTTATAATAACTGTAAGTAA